AGAGAGAAAGATGCGTGCTACTATAACCCTACACAAGTTTGAATCATAAATGTTCGACGGAGTTTTCTTCCAACACTATCTGATTCTAGTTAAAAACATTAAATTGAATCCACCTATTTACTTCTGTTATCTTTCAAAATTTTATACTTCAATGCATAAAATGCTATATTCTTAAGTACACAACTCAATATTTTTTAACATGTTTCCCATGTAACTACAACTGAGATAAAGATACAGAAATTTTAAAATACGCTATAAAGTTCTCTCATGCCCTTCTCAAGGCTATATACTACCTGCCCAAGAGATAACCACTATCGACTTTGCTAACAAAGGTATTTTTAAAAGAGCACAACTTTACAAGGATAAAGAAAAAGGAGAGTAACTTTGTTTGGAAGGTGGAAATAAGATGGATGAGCTAGATATTACACAGAAAAGAACTAATCTGGAAGACCCAGGAAAATTAAAACCTAAGCCAGCAATGGGGGAAGCTCAGTATTAAGCCCATCCAAAAGCATTCTGAGGGGCAGCTGAGTGACTCAGTCAGTGAAGCGTCTGCCTCAGGCTCAGGTCATGATCCCAGAGTCAAGAGATAAGCGCCACTTCGGGATCCCTGCTAAGCGGGAAGTCCGCTTCTCTCTCTCCCTCTGCCCCTCCCCCTGCTCGTGCGTGCTCTCTCTCTGATAAACAAATAAAATCTTTAAAAAATAAAAAAAGCACATTCTGAATAGGCAGCACCAAGTACCTCTGCAGATGAGGTCAACTTAGGAAGACTAGGATTTCTGCACTAGCAGACGTACAACTGGCCTAAGCTCACTCTCCCATCCTCTCCGTATTCCATCTCTTCCTCTCAAGTATCTGAAGTGCCTAAAGTCTGTCACCCATTTTTGTTTGTATTTCAGACTTCCACTGAGGTGAACTACCCAAGACCCTCTGAGGATCAACTCACTATCATCCCGGTCATGAGGGTTATTTCAGTGGAAAAGTCAGGAAGCAATTCCAAAAGTGACTTTTTTTTTTTTTTTTTTTTAAGATTTTATATATTTGAGAGAGAGTGAGTACAAGTGCGGAGGGGAGGGGGCAGAAGGAGAAGCAGGCTCCCCACTAAGCAAGGAGACTGACGTGGGGCTCAATCCCAGAATCCCGGGATCACGACCTGAGCCGAAAGCAGATGCTTAACCAACTGAGCCACCCTGGCACCCCAAAAGTGATTCCTTCTTTAAGGGATGATACTCTTGTCCAAAGTTGCCAAATCCCAATGCACAGCTGATAGCTTCCCTTTATAAGTTATCACATCACAGACCCTTGGCAATAAAACTTTAAGTCACTGGGACCAGAAACCCTCCTCTTGAAAATGGTCCAGCACCTGAAACATTTATCTTGGCCACAGGCCATGTTTGGTAGGAGTAGAACACTGTAGGGGCGCCTGGGTGGTGCAGATGGTTAAGCCTCTGCCTTCAGCTCGGGTCGTGATCCCAGGGTCCTGGGATCGAGTCCCACATCCGGCTCCCTGCTCAGAAGAGAGCCTGCTTCTCCCTCTGCCTCTGCACCTCCCCCTGCTCATGCTCTCTATCTCTCTGTCTTAAATGAATAAATAAAAAAATCTTAAAAAAAAAGGAGAACACTGTAGATGAGGCAGCTTTCAAGTCAGTAGTGAACAACTCTTAAGATTTACAAATCAACGGTGCTGTTGTTCTTTCAATCACTTATCTCTGTTACTTGTATTAAGATACTTAATGACAAAGTCTGTGTCTTCCTTAATACCTACCTCAGACAGCTTTAAAAGAGTATTAGGCACACTGTGATGTTCAAGGTACCTGACAAAACAAGTTTACCACAACCACATAGTCATATAGTTGTCATATAGTTACCATATAGAATTTTATTTTTTAAGATTTATTTTTAGAGACAGAACACCCACGGGGGGGAGCAGAGGGGGAGAGAGAGAATCCTCAACAGACACCCCAGTGAGAGTGGAGCCCAACACAGACCTCGATCCCACAACCCTGAGATCATGACCTGAGGTGAAATCAAGAGTCGAACACTTAACCAACTGAGCTGCCCAGGTGCTCCTACCTTGTAGAATTTTAATTCAATGCCATGACAGCCAATTTCTTATGCATAATAAGGAAAGCTTCAGCATCACTTCTAAATT